TACCCTGCTACAATGCTAAGCTTTAAATGCTTATGACCCAGACCTTCCTAAAAGACAAACTGTGTCCCTGTTCTTTCTCATGGGGGGGGGGGGGAGCAACAAGCACCCACCATGCAGAGCTCTGACTGCTAGGAGGGAGCCATAGTGTAGCTGACCCCTCATATCCTCTTCCAGGGTGGGACTTGCCTCCCCATCTCCATCTCCCAGTCTCAACCGCAGCCCCCTTCGGTTTCTATCCTGGAGAGGTTGTATGGTTCGTGAATCGGGAATATTTGCTCATCCATCTGCCCAGGACACATGCAGCGTTCTTTATTAAATAGCAGGAGGCAGAATGTCCTGCCCCACACCAACGATGTGGCTTCCAGGGGAAATAAACTGCCAGCCGCCCCTCATCCATCACTGTGCAGGAGCAGGGAAAGGAAGAGAAGCTGTTCTCAGGCAAATTCTCCCAGACCCCATCCTTTTACAAGCCAAGACTTCTTAGAACACCAAATACTCCTCCTTGTTACTGCTCCTCGCAATTCTAATGAATTACTTGTGCTATTGTGATTAATTCTTTATATGATTAGTTGTTTCTACTTCATAAATTCAGTGTTGGTGTCAGCCTCTGAATATCCAGAACCCAGCCCAGTGTTTGTTGCTGTTGCTGTCAAGTTGGTTCCGACCCATAGTGACCCTGTATAGGGTTTCTGAGGAGCAGCTAGTGAATTTGAACCACCAACCTTGTGGTTCAAACCAACCTTGAGGTCGAGTGCTTATCCTACAGTGCCACACCAGGACTTCCAGCCTGGTATAATCACTCAAATATTATTATCTTTAAATAGAATGAATAAATACATATTTGTCTCTTAGGCCTCCACCAAAACCAAACCAAACCAACTGCCATCGAGTCTTTCAGACTCACTTTTTTTTTTTAAAAAAAAAGCTTTTATTATGAATTAAATGATAGTTAACATTGTAGAAAAGCAGGTTTGCACTCAACCAATCATATTTTATTTCATTGCAATGATTACAATCCCCTCCATGCACCATCGGTTAACAGTATTGTCCTCTATTCCCTCTTTTTTGTTGTTGTTGTTGTACACAATAGCACACAAGAATATATAATCATTTAAACAACCAAAAGGCACATTTTGTAAGCCAGCCTCCTGCTCACCAGCACACAGCCTTTCTTTTTCCATGAGTCTAGAGTCTTTAGCTATCCTATCTCTGCACACCACCACCTCTGCTTACATCTCCAGTGTCACTGTTTCTTTGGTTAGGATCCCATGTTCTGCTCCTGCTTGATGATCCTAGGGTCCCTCTGTTCCAGGAATACAAGATTAACTACTCCCCACTTTTTGTTACACAACTTCTACCTTTACAGTTGTGATCATCACAATTAGTCGTGGTAACAATTGCTATTGAATCAAAAACTCCTATCCCCATCTCCTCTTACCATACCTATCTAGACAAGATGAAAACAATTCAGTAGGGATTCTACCTCCACCCCCCCACCCCGCCCCTTGCTCTGAAACTAAACTCCATCTTGAAAACTTTTAAGTTGGCCACTTCATGCCTTTATAATCCCACCCCCTGCCGTTTTAGGTAGCCAATGTCTAAATTGCCCATCCCTATCAACCCTGTGTACTGAGGGGATAGGCTTGATCCTTGATGTGAAGACTCCTTCCCTCTCAGTTGGTATTTTGCTGATTCAGTGTTTTTTGTTTGTTTGTTAGGTGCTTTGGAGTCAGATCTGAGTCATAGTGACTCTGTATAAGGTTTCTGAGGAGCAGCTGGTGGGCTCGAACCATGAGCCTTGTGGTTCAAACTAACCTTGTAGCCCAGTGCTTTATCCTATAGCACCACACCAGGATTCCATTCTGACTCATAGTGACCCTGTATAGGGTTCCTGAGACTGTAAGTCTTTACAGAAGCAGTCTCATCTTTCTCCTGCAGAGTGACTGGTGGGCTTGAACTGCTGCCCTTGAGGTTAGCAGGTCAATTCCTAGCCCATCAGGACTCTTTCAGTCTAAGGACTGGAACAGAAGAGTGTGTGTATTAGAATCTACCTGAAAACCTTCTGGGAACTCTGCTTTGGGTATGGGATGAGACATAAGACAAAATAAACCAAAGTCTTGGCCTCTTCATGAATCCAAAGTGTTGTGGTAATTCTTGCTGAGAAAAATTGGAGCTCAATGCAAAAGAAGTATTGGGGCCGGCGAATACAGGCCTATAACTCCCCCCACCCCTAAACACACACACAATCCACTGCCAATTCCTATCATAGTGACCTTGTAGGACAAATAGAACTGCTCTATAATTCTAGGGTTCCCAGAAGCAGACTGCCATATCTTTCTCCCACTGAGTGGCTGGGGGGCTGGAACCATTGACCTTACAGTTATCATCCAAGTTCTTAGTCACTGCACCACCAGGGATACACACGCACACATACACACACTCTTCTAACCAGCCCCATCCAGAGCTTCCAGACAGAAAAGGAGTATGTGTGTGAATGAAGGACCCTTGAAGGGAGTGTGTGAGAGAGAGCAGCTGGCAAGGCTCAGGATGAAGAGAAGATGGAGTGTGAGGAGAGGTAGATGAGAGGCAGACGGAAAGGTAAGTGGAGAAGCAAAGGAGCGATTTCTCAGAGCAGCAAATCCAAGGCACAAAGCAGTACTGAGGCATCCAGCCATGGCCACTACGACACCAGTGAGAAATGGCCATAATTAGGAGGCTGGCAGTTCTCTGGGCCTCAGCCCAGAGTGACGATGCAGCAAGAATGTTTGAGGCAAGGCAAGCAGAGTCAGGTGATGCAGGAGACTCCAGCCCATCCTTCAGTCGCGCCTGCGCCAGCATCACTCTCCCCTCATTTCTCTTTCCCACTAAGACCCTCGCCCTCCCACAAATGTGACTGGCCCTCCTCCCACTCATCAAACCCTGGACACCTCTCTCAGCCAAGGCAGAGCTTCTTCTATGAGGAGAGTAGGGCCTTCATCCTTCCACGGGCCCAGGCTGTGGTCCAGACCCCATTGCCTACCTGCTTCCCTCAGCTCTCAGCCCCCTTCCCATAGCCCAACAAGCCAATGGACAGAACTGGAAGAAAATCCACTTGGGTTCCTGTCTTTCCACATCAAGCCCAGTGTGTGTACCCTGCAGGCCTCCCTGTGATGTGCAGGACGACTGCCAAAGCGCTGCTGCCTGTCCTTTTCAACCCTCACTCTGAGAGCTCAGGGTCAAATGCTTTGGCAGTGGAGGGCCATAAAGCGCCTAGTGGCTGACGTTCATGGGTCTTTCTGCATTGCTCTAGGAGCTGGAGGCAGGGAGGTGGGTGAAGGTTAGGGAAGACAGGAAGGACCTGCGTGCTGTGTGTGGGGAGGGGTGGGCAGGTAGAAGGTGAACCCAATCTTGAAAAGACCCTGATGGTAGTGAAGAAAGTAGTTTTCTTTATGAATCCCAAACTGTGGGAAACTGGCAGGGGAGTTGCCGGGGATCCCAGCTCAATGTAACCAGGCCCTTTGGTGTGTGGATCAGCATATCCATTAAGAACTAACTAGTCTCTAGCCAAGGAGCTCTGGTAGTGTAGTGGTTATGAATCGGGCTGCAAACCTTAAGGTCAGTAGTTCGAAACTACCAGCTGTTCCACGGGAGAAAGATGAGGCTTTCTGCTTCTGTAAAGATTTACAGCCTTGGAAACCCTGCACAAGGTCACTATGAGTCAGAACAGACTCCACTGCACATCTAGCCAAGGAGCTTGGGTGTTTAAACTTCAGGCTAACTGAAAGGTCGGCAGCTCCAACCCACCAGCTGCTCGAAGGAGTCTCAGAATCCCTAGCGAGCAGCTCTTCTTTGCCTGGTGAATCAGAATCAGCTCAATGCCAGGAAAAAGTGGTACAAACAGTCAAAGCACTTGTCCTTGAGGCTTGGAAAGCCTGGAGGTTTGAGTCCACCCAGAGGCACCTCTGGTAGTGTAGTGCTTACAAATTGGCCTGCGAACCTCAAGGTCAGCAGTTCGAAACTACCAAGTGTTCTGCGGGAGAAAGATGAGGCTTTCTGTTCCCATAAAGATTTACAGTCTTGGAAACCTTGTAGAGGGTCACTATGGGTCAGAACCGACCCCACAGCACATAACAACAAACATAACAAGAGGCACCTCAGAAGAAAGGCCTGGAAATCTGGTTCAAAAAATTTGCCATTGAAAACTCAATGGAGCACATGGAGCATACTCACATGGATTACCATATATGTGGTAATCCATAACCACTGGTGAGTCCCTAGCCAGCCACCCACTGGACATGAAGCCAAGCTGTGAGCTGTAGTTACTGCTGGCCTTTCAGGAACTATATCCTGTCTCCATAAAAAGCTCCTTCCCAGGAGTCTGAAGGGTGTTTAAGGGCTGCTCCCAGGAACACCACTAACACCACCACAGAACAAGATCCCTTTGTACTGCCAGTAGTTAAAGTCACTGGTGGACCCACCCACCCAAAAGAAAAGAGATATTTCTTCCACCTCTGGTGCTGTTGGGTCATCTAAATCTTTCCAAGACAGCCAGACCTTTCTCTTCCGAAAATATTTTATTGATAAATTAACTCTGAAAGCGCTCCTCTCCCATCCAACTGTGGTAACGGCTCCTAGGTGGCCCATGAGCCCCTCTGGGTTACTTGGAGGACAGGGAGTCACACTCTCACAGGGGGAATGGGCTAGGGTCTGAGGCAGACCCTGAGGTCTTCGGAAGACAGCCCTTCCCACTCAGCACCACAGTGGGGAGTGGTGGTCAGGAATGGAGCACCTTGGACCTTTATTGCTGGTGTGTGCCAAGGGCAGTAGGACCCCTGCTCACCCAGAATTGCAGCTTCGGGCATCGTACCCAGGGCACCAGAGTCTGACTGCGTACACCCCTACCCCCACCTAGGGCCCTGGATGGGGAAGGAGGTATGACTGGGGAGGGTTACAGTGTGCCGGTCTCAGGCAGGGTGGCGCCAGAAAGGGGGTCTATGGTCAAATAGCTAGCGGTCGCCCCTTCACAGGTCTACAGTGTCGCTGCCCACGCTCAGCTCGTCGATCTGTCGGCAGGCATCCAGGAATTGCTCCCGCAGCAAGGCCTCCTCAGTCTGTAGCCCAGGGACAGGCTCCGGGGAGTCGCGGGAGGGGGGAGTCAGGGCTTGGTAAGACCCTGAGACCTGGAGGCTGGGGTTACTAGCCGCAGACCGTGGGGGACTTAGGATGCAGACCAACGGACAGCGCGGGGGCCTGTCCGGGCTGGAGCAGAGCAGCATGGACGAGCTGTCCCGCGAGAGTCCGTACAGGGAGCCGGAGGAGGCGCTGCTGCCCACGGGCCAGGCCCCAAGGGAAGGCGGCTCTGGGGACTCCGGGGACCCGGGGGCCTCCTCGGGCCTCCCGCTGGGCGCGGCCCCCGTCTTAGCCCCGAGCGAGACAGTGCGGTAGAGGTCGAGCCCAGGCAGGGTTTCCCCGAAAGCAGGACCTTGGAAAAGGCCAGGCACCAGCAGGGCCTCGCTGCAGAGCGCCTCCTCGATGCTGCGCCGCAGGTTGATCGGGGAGGGTGGCCGGAAGTCCACGGTGCAGTCGCTGCAGGGGGAGGAGGCAGGCGAAGAGACCGGGGCGCCCTCGAAGCCCCGGCAGCCGCCTCCCTGGAGGAGAAGGTCAGGGCCTGGACCCGCCAGAGCGCACAGCTGCAGCAGCTCCGCCTCGCCGCGCGTGATGGCGCTGCCGGGAGGCTCCTTGTCCGGGAGCCCGGTGCCCCAGCGCCCAGGCAGCAGCGGAGCCACGTGGCCTGGGGACAGGCGGAAGAACTTGGCCCAACAGCGCGGGGGCACGCGGGGGTTGCAGAGCGCCGGGTAGAGACCCAGCAACGCCAAGGGTAGCGCAACGCCCACCTCACCCAGGCGCAGGCCCAGCTGAAAGGCCCACCAGGGCCAAGGCCCCTCCAGGCCGGGCTGGCCGCCGTAGCCCAGGGCATGCAGCACCTCATAGCCCTGCAAGACTCCGCTCAGCAACCCGAAGGTGCCTGCCACTGGAGCTGTGCGCGCCGCACGCCGCCACGACTCCCGCGGGGAGAATGGGCTGCGCGCCTGCCTAAGCGGAGTAGCGCCCTTGAAGCCAGATCCCCCAAGGGGCGCGCCGGCCCGCCGCCGCCGGCCCGGCCAACAGGAGAGCGCCAGCAGGAGCCCAGAGAGCAGGACCGCCAACAGGGAGTGCAGGCCACGGGCGGCCAGACGCAGGGGCCGCAAAGGGCGGTGCGCCGCGCTTCCTAGGGCTGCGGCGGCCGCCAATCCCAGACCCAAGAGCAGCAGCGCGGCCAGGCCGCAGGGGCACCGCGGCGGGCGCGGCCGAGCCATCAGCAGGCAGGCCAGTCCCAGGCCGGCGGCCAGACAGGGCAGCGGAAGGTCCTGAAGTAGCAGCCAGGCGAGCACTGGCAGTCGGGCGCGGTGCCCGTAGGCGTCGTAGAAGAGCGGGAAGGCCCGCGTGGTCCCAGCTGAGAGCAGCAGCAGGTCGAGTAGCGCCAGGCAGGGTGCACCGGGCGGGCAGCGCCAGGGCAAGAGGGCCAAAGCCAACAATGCCAGCAGTGCCACCAGGCCAAAGAGCGCGCCCACCCCATACACATGGGCCTCCCAGGCCAGCCCCCAGCGAGCCTTGGCCTCGGCCCAGTTGGCCTCGAGGGTCAGGAAGAAGAGGGGCAGCGGGGCCGCAGGGGGCTTCCGCTCTGGATCAGGCAGTTCCCTCCCGCCAATGCTACAGGACTCTGGCCCGCACTCTGGCTGCGCCGAGAGGATCTCGAGACTGGCGGGAGACGGATCATCTGGATCATAGGTGGGGACAGTAGAGTCTGTGGAGAAAGAACCGGTTATAAAACAGTTGTGCAGCTCTCCCCTGCAAACCCCTGTCAGGTAGCCAGTGTGCCGGTAAGAGGGAGCCTTTCCGTCCTGGAGCCGTTTGTTAAATGTGATGTACCCAACATCTCCACCTGTCACCTGTCCAATCCCCACCCATGCTGCCGGCCAACCCCAACATACACACCTCCATCAGCTCCCTGGACTGTTCATTTCCCTTCATCACGCTTTGATTTTGCTGAAAACGGGGTTTGTTGTTTTTCCTAAGTCCCCTCTACTAAAATCCCCCCCACGGGAAGGGAAGTTTCATGAGAACAAGGATTGGCTTATTTTGCTCACTTCTGAATCTCTATGACCAAAATGGGGATGTCAGCGAATATTTGTTGAATTAATGAATCCTCTGATTTCCCAGATGAAGATACTGAGATTCCAAGAAGCAAAATGACTTCTTCAGGAACACATCTAGAATCCAGATGTGAGCATCAGTCCAAACCCCTTTCCATCGTTCTAAAACCTATTCATACTAGTTTGCCTGTCTCTTGTTCTGCACCCCTAAATCCCAACCCTGGTGTCAGGAGAAGCTTACCCTACCCAATTCATCTCCTCATCTTTTTCAGGAAGAGTCCCTACACACACACACACACACACACACACAGAGCAGGGGGCGAGGTAAACCATTCCTGTTTACTCAGCACTTGAAGGAGAACACTGCCCCTATTCACTGGCCTTCTGCCTGCTATACACTCAACCCCTTGGCCTAGTCATGACTGTGGACCCCATCCTTACTCAACCATAAAGCCAGTGGTCAAAGGCTCAGAGAGTTCCCTTTGGGTCTTAGCCCATTTTGCAGAAGATGATATTGAAACGAACTCTCCCGGTCTGAATACAACTTCTCAAGAGGCTGCTCTTGGACCCCGGGAAGGAGCAATTGGGGAGATTAAAGTAGAATAAAATACCATCTGAGTGAGCCCCTCAGGTATTCCGGGGTTTGCTATCTCAGGCCCCTACCCTTACCCTGTTGTTGTTGTTAGGTGCCATTGAGTTTGTACTGACTCATAGTGACCCTATGCACAGCAGAATGAAACACTGTCCAATCCTGGGCCAACCTCACTATTGTTGCCACGCTTGAGTCCA